CTCCATCGAACTGACGTGTACAGAAGCATTTTGAAGGTGTTCAAAGAAGTTCCCTACTACGGCGAGGGAGTAATAGAGTTTTCGAGTGGCTTCGAAAATTTCCTTGACATTTCCTCGACGCAGATTTCTCGCGAACTAGAAAGCGTTCGAAACAACTGGAGCACCTATCAGAAAGCGTAAATCTTCTACTTTACAACGCTTTCCTCCGATTTTCAAAGCATTGCCAATGAAGACAGCTACTGTCTTCCAAAGAGTGGGAACTCGCATGTAAATTTCAATTTCCTCGACGTCTCCCACTCTCGAGAATAGGCGTGCTTAGAAAAACGCTCAGCACAATTTAGAAACTAGAAGTCTTGTGCATTCAAAAGCTGCCTTCACTTTCTGAAATGGTTATCAATGAAGAAAGTTATAGTCCTTTAAATAGGGGGTACATTTGACGATTTTTCCAACTAGCGCGCTCTAGGCACAGCGCGCGACGCGATCGCGGGTAGTTAGCGCCGCTATACTGGAGCGCGAGACTGTCAAGCCGCATTTGCGTAGCAGCGTGAAATGAAAGGGATTTTCGCGTTCTGAGTGCCCTTGTTGCTTTTCGGCTCTCTCTATGTAGCTGAAGCAAGGTTCATGCTTCAAATAGAGATGAAGATCAGCCATCAGCTATAATGACTTTGGCAGAGATAGGACCAATTTTTGTGCTGATGGCGGTTCTTTAAGGAAGATGACCATATGCAAAGGACGCCTAACTTTCACAATGATCACAACCCACAGAATGAAGGAATAATACGAGTAACAGAGTGAGTAACAGACACAACTTTCTTTCGGAAACTCTACTTTCAGTAAGAACCACAAGAGCTTTTGAATACAATTGCCTCTACAAAGAGATTTGATTGCAGACGTCGAAAACTATGTGCTTTCATCCTCTGATAGAGATCAGGTACCAGTTAGATAACCCGAATAAAACAGAGACTAATTTGTTTCTAAATGGGATTTGATCTCGAGTTATGCATCAGCCAAGCGAAATACTTTACTGCCTCATCTTCTCCTCTGCAGAATGTTGCCCGAAAAGGTCTAGAAATATTGTAGATGTTCACACGATACAGATAGCTCAGAAAGATACCTTCGCTGTTACGGTCCCATGAGTGATGATGTGAAGAAGCAGAATAACACAGAGCGCATGGAAATACATGAACGTGGGGACACTCCAAAATGGCAGCTGCGCTCTCGTAAACTTCCTGGGGTGCCCAGTCTACCGCATTTTTCAGCATGAACGCCTCGAATATATTGTGAGAATCGATTCTCGGCACCGCCCATATTCCCTCATATAAACATTGTCCTTGCTGTCGCTCAAAGTTCACGCTTGGGCTGAACTTGCTTGATAATAAAAATTGGTTTGAAGGCGATCCAGCCATTGGCTAGCATTGGGAAATGCTGGAACAGAATGCTGGGAGGGCCGCAGTTGTCCGACTAGCTGCGAACAATGTAAGCAAAACTGCCGAAAACCTGAAAGTATGGACGGGCCACATGAACCATTAGATTCCTTCCGTTGATGAGGTGATGCGCAAATAGTTACCACTCCTTTTAGCATTCACACAGGCTTATGTTCCAAAATTTCATTGTAGTTAAATTTTTTTCATGACGCAAGAATGAATTACTGCAAAAATAAATAAACTTATTTTTTGAACTGGGCGGAGATGGCGAAATGGCAAGTTGCACTGCCTATCAGGAGCACATTCTGCAGGTAAAACTCATATAGACGCCTATACTAACTAGCCGTTTCTTCCAACGAGGCTAGTTGATTGGTGCCTGACTCGCCTTGAACAACTCTGTTTAGTGCACCAGATAATCTTTAAAGCCGTGGCTCACCTAACATTCAATGTTGCGATCCTCAGTGAATATTTATGACGTTCGCATCCCAAAAGGGAACCCATAATTATTGCTGGACCTTACGTAACTAGCCTAAGCTGGGGAACCGGTTAGTTCTAGACTTATGTAACTAGCTTATGCCGGGAAAAGTAAGGAGACGTAGAAACAGAGCTGAAGGTGACTACCTGTGATGTTTATTCATAATAGGGCGCAGTAACGACATAGAGTGGTGGTCAAAAATTGTTTTCCAGAAACCGGCAGGATTTTCTGAGCGAAAAAAAGCAGCACTGCTTATCCCATTCGAACTTCAAAATTTTAGGGTCACATTCAGAGAAAATTAGGTTGCCTGGTAAGTGATGCCGTTTGTATTCAGGAAGAAATTTTCCTTTTACGACCCCAAAATTCACGTAAGTTTATAAATCATTTGAAAGAAAACAGCTGCTCTCCAGAAATTATAGCGTTCCTCCTATAACCACTGTGAAATTTCAATAAATTAAAGGCTTGCAAATTGGGAGGCTCTGTAGGCGAAATGTAGCCAAATCGACAATTAACCCAACTGTATGTTCCACCGTAATGAATCAACCAGCGATACACATTGTATTTATGGTTACTCACAGCCTCCACTCAACATTCTACTGCTGGGTTGTCCACAAGCTCCCTTTCAGTCGTTCCCTTTCAAAAATGGTTCCCCATCCAGATGTCGGTGGTTTACCGCTATCTTGTTCCAGCTAGAGCCGCCGAGACATTGAAAAACTGATGGAACGTTCAGAATCAGACGCTAACCACGACGGATATCGGAGAAGGAGATTTTACGGCACCCTTGAGCAAAAAATTTGAAGGGATGCATCATCCACTGACTAGGCACATTATTACCTAAGTCCTTATTTCCGAACCACAACGAAGGGAAAATCGAATCTTCGGCATATCTTCGAATGAAGCAAAAGAAGAGCTTCCGAACGATGTATGAAGCAGTGTGGGAACA